TTACCATTTTATTGAGAACAATTCCCAAAGCTAGTCAAAATTTGTCATGTCTTTGTGGGACACCCTGTATACTTAATATTAGAAGGAAATCATTTTAAACTAATAGTTTTAGTCAAAACAAATTATAACAAACACACTTCTTCATCATTTAGTTGGCGAGCGGATTCAACAAACATCAAACAAGTTAGAAGCAAAATAATTGAGATTTTGAAGTACATTATATCGGTCTATTATAAACCAATGTTTAACAGTGCGACAAAAAACTATTACTTTTATTCTCTACGGTTGCCTATTGACTGTTGTATAAAAAAAATGAGAAATAAAATCCAAAACAGTAAATAAATATATCAAATACGTTTCCGACAAGTATCCAACTGTGGCATTGTTGCAAATGTCTATTTGCACTGTTTTTATCGAATAAAAGTATTGATGTCATAATGCACAGATGTGTAAGTATGGCTTTAAAAATTTTACCGGCAATACCTGGCAAAATTATAATGCATATATGTAATAAACTTCTAAGCCATCTTATAACATCAAAGCTTTGAATTCGTTTGAAAAAAAATTATTACCAAATGGGATACCCTATTGTACAGTTAAATTCCTCATGTCTTATTCAAGGTTAACTGTATAATGTGCACAAAAGTCTATTCAAAACAAGTTTTCCAATAACATTATTATTCCAGGCCTCAAACTAATATCTTCTGCTGTTTTACGCTTGCATACATAGTAAATAATGTGTCTGACTATTATGTCTATTGACAGCTACCCGGATATTTTCCGGCAAAAATACTGGATGATTTCTATCGATATTTTGTTTGTTTTGTATGCTTTGAAATTCTAGTAAATAACCGTCTTCCGCATTAACAAAGCGCCCGTGTACCCGGGTTCGCTCAGGATAAGAAAAAACAATTGGAACAATATTTTTTATTTGCTTAAGTTATATCACGACGTAGAATAGATTGTAAAAATGAAGTCATCATTCATATGAGTATTAAAATGTTGAATTTACTAATAGGTAAAATAACCACAACAATATTAAATTAATTATACTTTGAATTTGTCTACCCTATATAGATAACCGTGTTGTGCTCGTTGTAAATTATAATTGGTAAAGTACACATATTGAAAAATAAAAAATGTGTATTGAATACCAATTCGTAGCTACAAATGCGCGACTTCATTTGTAAATTGAATAAAAACGTATTTCAAATAAGTAAGAACTCACAAATCTACCTCTCGGGAATCTGCAATTGGGATTTTTGTCCATTTATTCCTTTAGGAACTGGCTGGCTTTTTTTCACACGAGTCAGGTACTCTTGACGTACATGTAAACAGGAATCCAGCAACCTCACGCGTTTAGGCGGTGCCAATTCTTGTGTTTAAAACTTTAAAAAATTCAGCACTACCCTCTACCTCTTCTTCCCACAATGCCCCAAACAGGTATAACGTTGACCGAACAAATTCGGCACCTGCTGAGAGATTTGTCCATTATATTTTTATTACATAAGAAAACTCGATTGTACATAGATATATGCAACTATGAATAATTGTATGAATCATACCAGGTATTCGATAACCATGGCCCAGTCAATAACTTAATAGTTATTATTTTTTTTTATACATTTTTATAGTTGTTAGATGGTACAAATTAAAATTTAAATAATTTTAAAAAAACTATAACCCCATCCCTTATTTGATAAACTTGTTTAACCCGTTTAATATCTTTCACGTTATTGACTGGGCCATAGTTATCGAATTACCCGGTATACCATATAAACGACAGATGTCCAAAAAGTCCGGGAGAGTGTAAATAGAAATACTCGGTACTCGTATTTGTATGTACAATAAGTCTACTAAAATAGTACACAAAAGCTATAGTACTTGGCTGCATGGCAACTCCGGGGTGATAGAGAATTATTATTATTACTATTATTAGTGTATAAATTATTATCACATTATTTATATTTCTACATAAAAAATTATAGGTAGTTTTAGTATTATTAATTTTAGTAGTTTATTATTCAATAAAAAGAAACCAACAGTTTGATTATATTATATAGTATAATATATCCCGTATTCACTAATAAAAACAATCCATACAAATTTGGAAGAAATTCTACTATTTTTCAAAAAGTAACGGAGCATCGTAATTATAAGTTGAAAAATGTGTAAATTTTTTGGGTATTTTTCTCGATTTTGAAAAAGAAGGAAAGACTTTTTTTTTTAAGTTTTGGCCCAATAAAGTATATTTCAGGTACGATTTGTAATCTATACAGTTGCATACTCGAAAAAATTGGTTCAGCGGTATCGTGTGCCCAAATAAAAATAAAATAAAAAAAATATATGAAAAATAAAAATATCTTCGGCCATCAAAAAAATGATTAAAAATCAGTGTCATATATAAAATGATCTTCTTTTTTTTTGCTTTCTGAAAACAACTTTGATTTTTTTTTTTTTGTTATAGAAAAAAACTAAAATGGAGTCTAAAAAGTTGGTTTTTTCGTGTTGCCTAAATTTTAAAATATTCCAACGTTAGTGTATCGATAGTTAGAAGCAGGGTTTAAACTCAAATGAACAGATTACAATTAAACATTTTTTTATAAAGCGTTCAAATTAAAATACTGAAAATACCTACCTACAGTAAATAAAAAATCCCAAATAGATGTTCCTAGCTAAAAAGAACAATTTTGTTTTCATTTGTTCAAATTTATTTCGGTATGTTTATTTTTCTATATATTAATTTGTTTTTGAAAATATATATGTATATATGAATATAAAAGTTTCATTATCGTTTATTCAGTAAAATGGTCAGTCTAGTGACGGTAAATAATAAATATTGCAGGGTCTATTTTTGTGTGTAATGTGCTACATTGTATGCAATAGAAAATAATATTTGAATGGGTCGAATAAAATATTTGAAATGATTAAAATAATTTTAAAAAATAGTATTTAAATAGTTTTTAAATGCTTTTTTAAAGTAACTATATTTGAAAATATGATTTCGTATAAATCTAATATACCTATATACTACATTTAGAAAATATATAAAACCAGTAAATATAGGAAGCCAATTTTTTGTATGAATATTTTTTTTATTCGAATAAATTAAAAAACATTATCAAATAAACTGTGAAATGATTATTCAAATAACGTTTTATTCGAATAAAAAATCGCACAACCTTGATTGTGGCGATTTGATTTACGTTGATGTGTCTTTTCTTCTCTGCATTTATACCTAACTACAAGTAGTAGAAAAAGTACTCCGATCTTTATGATTCCAGTAGGAAATTTTGTTTGTGAGGTACTTTATTTGAAACATTTTTTTATAAAATAAAATCCCAAAATTTTAGAACCAATAAACCGCAAAAAAAATGAAAACGTCAAATAATCGACATGTCCATAGGTGAATTCTATAAAAGTTTTAAGATAATTCATGTAAAATTAATTTTGTTATAACCATTTTAATATTAAAAAAAAATTATGGAATAAAATTTAAATTATTTTTACTAAATTAAACTTAAGAACTTAAATTCTTTACCTATCCTGTTTTTTTTAGTGAGATAAGTTAGCATACAAGTTTTAGAATCTGTAGTGTACAAATTTGTTTTATTTTACACAAAAACTTAAAGTACAACCACAGTTAAATGAGGTGCGGTATGACATACCGTACGTCACTAGTAATGTATAAATTATTCGTGTAACACTGTTCGTTAGTTAAACTAGTATACAAATTAATTATAAAATTAGATATAAATTAAAGAAAAAATAATCCCTAAAATTGAGCGCTGCTGTTTAAATTTTGTATAAAAGATGTAGACTGTAAAATTTCAAATCTTCAAAAAATAGCTGTTAGTGTTTAGACTTTTTGATAACGTGAGATTTTTAGTATAAAAAAATAGTATAGATGTGAATGGGTAGTAAGTAAATGCAAAAAACAGAACGCACTAATAAACTTAATATTCACAATTTTAAACTACTACAAAAACAGAAAAAAACGTATTAACAAAACGTTGCCGAGTTGGCTAGATCTTTTCGGGACGACACAGAGATCTATAGACGATTATCCATAGAGTTTTTTCAATATTAATCACAACGTGTTCAATATGGACCTAGTATTATTATTATCATCTACACAAGTCACAACAATGTGTTATATTACATCAATGACAGCGGTTACCTAGGAACTCATTTTTATTTGTTATTAACAATATAGTTGGCAATATTTCTAGTTACATACATACATGAACGTTGTTAAATTAACACAAGTCCTAAAAACCAAAAACGGGCAAATACTAGAATAACAAAATCACACACCTTAATATTCTTTTGACTCTTATTGTTATTCCATGTAAACTTAACACAATATAGTTTTCTTAGTTCAAATAGTGTCTAAAATGTTCAATATTTACCTATTCTGAGTTCTTTCAAACACATATACCATCATTGACATTGCTCAAAGGCGAAGCCGAGTATGGTTACTATGTATTTTTACAAGGACAAATCTCGTTTCTTTTGGTGAGTCTAGACCTACGATATTTTTAAATACAGATAAGGAACATTACACTAATTTTATTGAGAAAATCCAAAAAAATAAAGCAATGAATTATTATTAGTAAAATGTAAAAAAAAAAAAGATATAAAGCTCTCGTCATATTTTTTTATTTAGCTGTAATGATACAAATAACACTAAAATTGAGTTATTACAAATAACAAAGTACACGGGACAGTGCTAGTACATAATATTATAAAGTTCGATTAATTACATACATTATTTAATATAATTCATTGAACAAACAAAATGTAGTATAGACAAATTTACAACACGAATTAGATATTAAATAACGAGTATGCCAAAAAGTGTTTAAAATTTAAAATCCAGAGAAAGACACTTATCCAGTATGACTATTCTACTATTCTCCAACATGGTGCCGTTTGTGTACAACCATGTTACTTCTTTGTCAGAAACCCTTGAAGCACACATTGCATTCGTATGGCAATTATCCAGTATGCACTCGTAGATGACTTACTAGTCTGGATTTTTTCGACAACGATTTTAAACAAACGTCACACGTGTATGGTTTCTCTCCGGTATGAACACGTTTGTGTTGTACAAAGGAAGATGATTGATTAAAAGATTTTAAACAAACGTTACATTTGTTAGGCCTTTCTCCAGTATGCACGAGTTCGTGTTTTATAAGGTTTGACTTTTCATTAAAGTGCTTCAAGCACACAACACATTTGTATGGCTTCTCTCCAGAATGAACGCGTTTATGTAATACCAGATTGGATCTATCCGAATACGATTTTAAACAAACATCACACTTGTAAGGCTTTTCTCCAGTATACACGCGTACGTGTTCTACCAGAGTGGATTTATACAAAAACGATTTTAAACAAACGTCACATTTCAATTTTTTAGGCTTTTCCCCAGTATGCACTCGTCCGTGTTTTACCAAACTAGATTTCACCGAGAAAGATTTAAGGCACACATCACACTTGTATGGCTTTTCCCCAGTATGCACCCGTCCGTGTGTTACCAGAGTGGACTTATCCGTAAACGATTTTAGGCACACATCACACTTGTATGGTTTCTCTCCAGAATGAACTCGTTTGTGTACTGTGAGATTGTATCTTGCCATAAAAGATTTTAAACAAACATCACACTTATAAGGCTTTTCTCCAGTATGGACACGTTTATGTTGGGTAAGGTGTGAATTTCTAGAAAACGATTTTAAACATACATCACATATAAGTGTGTTTGCTTGCTCTTTGGGTTTTGTTTGTGCCAGTTGATCATTTACTCCAGTCTCATTCGCTTCATTGTTAATTTCACTAGAACAAACATAACAGTGCAATGTAAATGAATAGTTAGAAAAATGTATTATAATATCGGTTTAAATTGTTTTCATAATATTAATATATTTTGTCTTATATTTAGTAAGTAAACTAATATACACAATTTAGGGCAGGAGTGTAGTATTATCTAAATCTGTCCGCATTTTCCAACCGCACTTCCCCTCCTATCCTAAGTTTTAAACTCTTACACTTTTTGCTTTTAGTTGTCTCCTAATTATTCTACATATTATCATTTTACCCTGTCTACATTTTTTTATTCTCTTATTGCCACTAATCACTTCCCTTCTCTTCTTGCTAAGCATGAAACCTATCATAAGTTTTTATTATTATTAATATTAACTAATTTATAATTAATTCATCCGTAAGAGTAAAAATATCATATTTTTTAAGAAGAATGTTAGTATGTAAACCTCTTTATAGATTTATCTTTGGTGTTTTTATAATTAGGAATCTAATATCTAAGTACAGTTTTTTTTTTGTTACAAAGGGTCGATGTGTTTATAGAATTTATAAATACTTTGGTTGATGATTAATATACAATTATTTTCTAATCCTATTCTACCATTTGACATAAGGTAATTACAATCTACAAAATACTACTAGTCTTCTCAGACTTCTCATATACATTTTTTATATAAGTTTATATATATAAGTTTTTAAAAAAAAATCATTAGTATGGGTGGTAGTAGCCTTATTAAAATTATTCTAATTTTTGTTTTCACATATTTTATTCTAAATTTGAAATCTATTGTTCATAATAAAATATTTAAAAGCAAAATTGTTTTTTAGAGTTTTAAAAAAATGTCACCTCACCTGAGTATATTTCTGACAAATGTTTTATGACTACTTTTTCTAGTTGCGGTGTTCACGTCACCACGTCATAAAAACAATGAGTATCAAATATATTCAGTGCATTGTTTATTATTATTATTAGGTTAAACGATATGTTTATACCGGGTGGTACTTTTAACGCATAACGCCAGTTTTCTCTCAAGATGATTAATATTTTGTAAGTTTTCTTTTTGAAAATATTTTTGTTTATGCTAACACCATTAAAAAGAGTCTTTATACAACAATTTAATTATGATCTTTATGAATAATTTAATTAATTATTTGAAAGAAATAAACAAATCTATCACACTTTCAATATGTTTTCCTCAGTGTAGTTAATATAACAAGATGCTATACGACCACTATACTCAAGAACACACAATATAAGGAATGGAAATTTGAATAGAGTCGCATATATTAGACCACGGTTGCATGGAATCCACGAACACCGTTAATATCAATTTTGACTCGGCTAAGACGTATTACTTTATAACAGAAATAAAAGATTTAGGATAAGTTATTACTTACGAAGTCGCCCGACCAGGAAACGTGCGAGGATAAGATTAAAAGTTAAAACTATTAGTTAAAATTATCAATGAGATTGTGCATATCGAACACGGTTAAATACCGAAGTATCGACCACTGTTAAAAATGCATAATCTTATTTCTAAAGATCAAAATATGACTTTAATAAATCTCCCCGGGTATTTCTGCTATCTTTCTCCATATTACCTCAAGATACCCCAAGAGGTCCCTTACGCATTTTATTATATGCTCAACTAATTATTTTTTACTATTCACGTGTTTATATTAACCTTAAAATGTTTGTTTATAATGCCCATATTGTTTTAAGGAATTATTAAATAATTAACCCTTAATATTACTTAGTAAATCGCTAAATTAATATTCTTATGTTTCGGATTTAAAAAAATCTACCATACTTGTGTATATTTTTGGCAAATGTTTTTCGACAAATTTTTCTGGTTGCGGTGTTCACGTCATGTGATTCTGTTTTGTGGTGTTCCATAAGCCTTTTGGATGTAAATATTTTGTGACACTCGTTGCAAACAAACCACTGTTTTGAGTAGGAATCATCCTTTGCCGTTATCTCATCCAAAAGCAAAATTTTTTCAATTTCCACAACAGTTTCGAAGCGACAACCATTTACTACATCTATTTCTTCGACTTCCACTTTGGGCTTGTTGCACGGTTCTTTAACACTAAAAACAATGTAAAACAATGAGTAACAAGTATATTCAGTGCCTGGATTAAGTATTATTATTAGATTAAACAATATGTTTATACCGAGTGATTCTTTTAATGTCTAACACCAGTTTTCTCTCAAAATGATTAATATTTTGTAAGTTTTTTTTTGAAAACTACAATATTAAACAATAGTCAAATTTGTATCTTTTTTAGTTTAGCTTTGGGTTCATTGCATGATTTTTAAATACTAAAAAAGATGTAATTTAAAGTGTAATTGATATAATAACTGCCCAGGATAGGTTGTTCACGGTTAAACAATATATATATATATATATATATATATATATATATATATATATAGGTAGATATACATATACATATTATATAAATGGAAGTGTTTTTAAGTGAATTCGCGTTTATGGTGGTAGATAGCTTTTGGTAACATACCGATCATAGGAAAGTTTGGTCGCGTTCGCTTTGCGATGGTGGGTGTTAGAGGCAAAAATATGTAAGGTAAGTAGTCGGGCTCAATTCTATACTTGAGATTATGATGATTTATGATTTCTGTATTTAAAAATTCATTTTTTTATAACTAAATACATGAATAAACTTGAATCAATAGCTACAATTGTATGCAGAAGACCCAAGTGATACATTTATTTTCTGATATATTGTACACAAGTTATAACCTCAAGAACAAGATCTTTGAATTCACAATTCACAGTTTGAATAATCTATATTAGAATCGACAAAAGTATACAATGTAGCCTTCAGCAACCAATGCAAACTCTCCTTTCTCTAAGAAAAAAAAATCAAAGTCAGGCGAAGTCAGTATATATACTAGTTGCCCTTTGCCAATTTTTAAAAGTAAACAAAGTTCTACAATAGTATTTTAAAAATAATTAAATTAAATATAATGTGGTATTTGAACTTTCTATTCTAATACACAGGCAATGTCGGGTCGGGACAGCTTGTAATAATATAAATAATAATAATATTGTAAATGTCTTAATTGAATAAACACTGTAAATATTTTACTTGGTAACTTCTGAGTTCAAAGGACCTTTGAATTAAAGAAAATGTTATTGCTATAATAATAATTTTACTCTTTTCATAGGTACCGAGATAAAATTGATGAAAAATATGTAAAGCTAACCTTAAAACACTATTATACTATTAAAAAATCTCCTAAGTCAAATATCCAGAAAAAAATGAATACCTAAGTTTAAACTCATCATCATCATGTAGTACAACAGGCTTTGAATTCGCAATGATAACATTGTAAAATAGTTTCTTGACAACTTCGCTGTTGGGATGGTTCGTCAGTCTGTCACCGTAGAGGAGTAACGTTTTCTTTTCATAAACCAACTGCTTGCTTGCAAATAGTACCGCAAGACCAAATGTCAAACCAGCAACAATAAATGCTAACCCACATAACCCGCTCTGCCATTAGACCATCTCAAAAACTAATAAAATAGCAAAACACTCCTATGGTTGTTTAACTTATACATTAAGTAGTGTTAAGGGTTTTTAATGATTTTTTTATCACTATTTACCTTAAAATGAACTCAGTTGTGACATTGAGTCTATTGTATTTCAGTTTGAACAAAAAAAACCCCTGTCAAAACGGTCAAAAGAAATAATAATTACTTGCTCTAAAACTTATAATAAAATGTCGACACAACTATCACAGTTTAATATCAAATTTTTATTGTGAAAATCGCTTCTAATTATACTTTTTCCGTTTACCTTGAAAACTCATTTGTGAGGTTTGATCTATTGTACTTTCATTTGCTTGTTCTGTGATCACACTTTTTTTCGTTTTTTCGCCCATAACTAGACAGAATAAAATATTTATTATGATGACTGTTATTTAAAATAATTTAATTAGAAAATATTATACTTTACCTGGATATGGTCGACATCATAATTCCCGTAGTTTGAATTGTTATCATTTTATTATAATTAAAATAGTATTTAAAGTATATTTAAATACACTGTAATGAATCCAAATACAGTTAACAAAAAAAGTCAAAACAATTAGTTGAAAAAAATTATTATTCGCCAGCATGTTAGGAAAAAAACATAACAAATAGTAAATGATAAGAGAAAAAACAGAATAATATATGATAACATTTCTGTTGCCATGGCGTTGGCGTATGTTTTGCTGCCAGTTTGGTAACTTCCAAGGTGGATTTTTGAACTATCATACTAAAAACGTTTAGTGGCTCGTCAGCATACTTAAATAAATATTAATTGTTCTATATTAAGATTATGTAATGTCATTATTTATTATGCAATTTTATTTTATTGTTTTTTTTTTTAAATCACATTATCTATGATATAGTTAGGGATAACACCACCTCTCCCAAATTGCATACATTACCACTACACTAACCATTTTTTCCATTGTACACTTTTTCTCAACGATCTATTTGTTATGAGTTGTGAGAATATGAGATCCCCTAAACTTGGTTTGGTAATTGCATAAATTACCAATTTGTTGATTTGTGAATTAATTTTTTTTTAATTTTAGCATGGCCGTTTTTGGGGGGGGGGAGGGGAGGGAACAAGGGAATTTTCCTCACACTACGAATTTCGATTTCGATTATATATTTTTTACTTAAATAAATAGTCGATAAGAAATTTTCGTTATTTTCGCCTTATACAAATTGTAATTTAATAAAACTGTACGTGTAAAATACTATTGCAGTGTACCTTCGAGAATAATATTATCGATTATGGATTATAAACAAGGCCATAGTACAAAATTCAATATTAGAACTGGCGGGAACGGCGTTGTAACACAGAACACTTCAGTACCTACACTGTTTAATAGGTACATATTGTTATACTTGATGGCATGATCTTAAGACTTTTTAATAAATTCTAAAATTATGAAAACTTCAATACGTTTTGTGCATTTAAGTGTACTTCTGTAACAAAGTACCTAACCTTTAGAAAATAATTTTATGTATTTTAAATATTGTTATACATGTGTTTTATAACAATGCGTCCTTTGTTTTATATAAATTTGATAGTGCTTGATATACAAACAGGAGTTGGCAAAAATTACAATTAATCACATTAGCCCTTTTGAGATCCCTAACACTACAATATAAGGTAGTCCCTAGTCCACCTCGCGTTAACATTTTTTTTTTCTTGAGACTGCGCTTAACAAAATTCGTATTTACCACTTGGATTGTTCTTATTTGTATAATAAAAGAAAAGTACAATAATTCACCCTTCTAGGCCAACCCTAAGTGGTTGCTAAAGATAAATTTTCTCCTACATAATTTTTATAAAGAAAAGGTATTTTTTATAATATATTAAACTAAAATGGGAAAAAAACAATTTAATGTTAGATAACAGATTAAATCTGTCATAGTATACTCTTCAGACTTATCAAATTTTTTTTTATACATATTCTGAAATCTGATAATTTCACTTTCATTATACCTCAACTAATTGCTGCATTTTAATAAAGATAGTCTAAGCTTGCAGAATCCTTTTTCTAAAGAGTATGCAATTAAAAATTGTAAGAAAATTACTATTTTCTATTTAGTTATTACGCATAGGTCAGTCATAGTATATTATATTAAAAACATTTGAATTATGATACAATAATGTGTAAAATTCCATACCATGTAAAAATATACATCATACGAATAAATCTTGAAATATTATATTAGTCAGTATAATTCATTAAACAAACAAAATGTAGTACAGAAAAATGTACAATACAATTTAATAAAAATCTAAAAGCTGTTTTTTTTTTATAAAATAGTCTAAAAAAATGTTTATATTATATATCGGAGAAGACACTCAGCTGTATGACTATTCTCCACCATGGGTCCGTTTGTGTTTTACCATGTTGGTTCTTTGGGAAAAGCGCTTAGAGCATATATCGCATTCGTAAGGCTTTTCACCAGAATGTAAGCGGTTGTGAATTCTGAGGGAAGATTGATCCACAAATGATTGTAGACATACATCACACTTGTATGGCTTTTCTCCAGTATGCGCGCGTTCATGTACTACCAAAGCGGATTTCACCGAAAACAATTTTAAACAAACATCACACTTATAAGGTTTTTCTCCAGTATGCACACGTTCATGTGATACCAGATTGGGTTTCGTCGTAAAAGACTTTAAACAAATGTTACATTTATACGGCTTCTCGCCAGTATGCAGGCGTACGTGTGTTACCAGACTGGATTTCACCGAAAAAGATTTTAAACAAACGTCACACTTGTAAGGCTTTTCTCCAGTATGCACGAGTTTGTGTTTTATAAGGGCTGACTTTTCATTAAAGTGCTTCAAGCACACAACACATTTGTAGGGCTTTTCTCCAGTATGCACGCGTTTATGTGTTGCTAATATGGATTTTGTGACAAACGATTTTAAACACACATCACACTTGTATGGTTTCACTCCAGAATGAACGCGTTTGTGTACTGTGAGGTAGTCTCTTATCATAAAAGATTTTAAACAAACATCACACTTGTAAGGCTTTTCTCCAGAATGAACTCGTTTGTGTACTGTGAGATTGTATCTTGACACAAAACATTTCAAGCAAACATCACACTTGTAAGGCTTTTCTCCAGTATGGGCACGTTTATGTTGTATAAGGTGAGGACTTTGTTTAAAACACATTAGACACACATCACATTTAAACGGCTTCTCGCCAGTATGTATGCGTTCGTGTGCTACCAGACTGCATTTCACCGAAAAAGATTTTAAACAAACGTCACACTTGTAAGGCCTTTCTCCAGTATGCACGAGTTTGTGTTTTGTAAGGCTTGTTACATGATTAAAGTGCTTTAAGCACACAATACATTTGTAGGGCTTTTCTCCAGTATGCACGCGTACATGTGTTCCCAGACTGAATTTATTCGAAAACGATTTTAAACAAACGTCACATTTGTAAGGCTTTTCTCCAGTATGCAGGCGTCCGTGTGTTACCAGACTGGATTTCGCCGAAAAAGATTTAAGGCACACGTCACACTTGTATGGCTTTTCCCCAGTATGCGCTCGTCCGTGTGATACCAGACTGGATTTCCTCAAAAAAGATCTAAGGCACATATCACACTTGTATGGCTTTTCCCCAGTATGCGCTCGTCCGTGTGATACCAGACTGGATTTCGTCGAAAAAGATCTAAGGCACATATCACACTTATAAGGCTTTTCTCCGGTATGGAAACGTTTATGTATTGTAAGGTATGAATTTCTAGAAAACGATTTTAAACAAACATCACACTTGTAGTGCTTTTCCCCAGTATGAACACTTTTATGACTTGTCAGAATGGACCTTTGTGAAAACGATTTTAAACACACGTCACATGAGTATGGTTTCTCTCCAGAATGAATCCGTTTGTGTACTGTGAGGTAAGATCTTTTCGTAAAAGATTTTAAACATATATCACACTTGTTAGGCTGTTCTCCCGTACGCATGCGTTTGTTTTTTCCTAGTAAAGGATTGATCGTTGACGTGTTGTGGAATTTTAATATGTGACGGATTATTTGCCTTTTAGTAAAAAACAATTTTTTACACAAATCACATACAAATGTGTTTGATTGCTCTTTGGTTTTTGTTTGTGCCAGTTGATCATTTACTTCAGTCTCATTCGCTTCCATGTTAATTTCACTAGAACAAACATTACAGTGCAATGTAAATGAATAGTTAGAAAAATACATTATAATATCGGTTTAAATTGTTTTCATAATAATATATTTTGTCTTATATTTAGTAAGTATAACTAATATACACAATCTAAAGCAGCAAAATTAAAGTATTTATTTTAGCGAAAATGCATTAGTAGTCCTTATACAAAGTGATCAACTCATTGTGAACCACTCAATATCTCACTGGGTTTAGGAATTTAATTTTTTCTTTACATAGTTTTTTTTTATGCAATGTGACTTCAATTTTTCACAATGTTTTTTGTTTTTACTTTCTTTCCAATTTAGTTTTTTTGATAGTCTTTTTTGAAACTTAACTGGTAACGAATACATTTCATTAACTTTTTAAATATTAATAATGTACTAAAAATGTTGACTTGTCAATAACCAGTTTAAGATAACTATTTTTGAAGTTATTGGAGTTTAGTTATTCAAGTTTAGGCAGGAGGAAAGGTGGAATAGTATTGTTTAAATCTGCGCGCATTTCCCAAACGCACTTCTCCTCCCATCCTAAATTTTAAACTATTATAACTTATAAATAGTTATCCTAAACTGGTTTTCGACCATTTAAACTTGTTTGTACATTATTATCAATTCAAAAGTTTAATGGGTTCTATCAAAAAACTAAGTTGGAGGGGGTAAAACAAAAAAAATTGTGAGACATTGAGATCACATTGTATAAAAACATTATGGAAAAAAAAAATTATTAATTAAGCCCAGTGAGTATATCACCCTGTATGTTATCTACCTACACTAGCTCTTAATTTATAAATAATCCTTTTTTTTAAAACAATTACACTTTTTGCTTTTAGTTGTCTCCAAATTATTTTATTACATTTTTAAAGGAGAAAATGTTTGACCGAATATATAGGGCATGCTACATAAACAACGATTAAGCCGGTTAGGAGATAACAAACAAAAAATCTAGACATAAAAAAATTAATGAATAAATACAATTAGTTCTTTAATCTCCTCATCAAAACTAAAATTATATTAATTTTATTTTAAAAATACTAATATGCGTTACTAAGAGTTAAAACTATTATCAATATTAAAAAAATTAATTAATATAACACTTATAGGGTATGCTACATAAAAAAAACGATTTAGCCATTTAAGAGATAACAAACTAAAATTATATTCATTTTATTGTAAACATAATATGTGTTACTAAGGGTTAAAACTATTATTAATAATAACAAAATCGGCATCTATTAAGTAGAATTCTATTAAGTAGCCCTTTTTTTTTTAAAATCCACTGTCATTTGACAACGAGTAATTTACACTCTACAAAAAACAACTAGTCTTCTCATTGAAACATATCGCCATCTGGCGGTACATACAAGGCAGCCACGGTCAAGAGGACAGGTGCAGCCAACGCCGCACGGGACGCGCCCTAGTGTTGCATCGGCAGGAAGCCACAGTCAGGACGACGTACGCACGCTAGAGGGCGCGCCAAAAGAACATCAGTTTATTTCTAATCAACAATTAACAATTATTCAAATTTATTGTAAAAAAAAGATGCCAATAATTTATTCGAATCTTTTAAGAACCATAGGGAAAATTATATATCATTAGATCAAAGTTACTTTTAAGGCCGTAGGTCGATAAACGTTTGAAAATAGGGACACACGCTGAATATAACTAAACGCGTTTCGGGGGCCCCAAGGGCAGAAATAAGCATGCGGGCAGCTAATTAATCATCTCTTTCAGCTCATCGGTCCAGCGGTGCTTGACTTGTAAGTCCAACCGCGTTTGATCTCTCCTAGTAAACGGTGTTTTTGGCTACTAGCCAACAACCGATTACATTATTTTCCTGTCTTATTCACAGTGTTTTTAGCCACGAGCTAACAACTGTTTACCTTATTCCAAATAACCTGGTGGTGTTTTAGATTAAAATCTACAACCACTTCCTTGTTTTATCTTACTAACGGTGTTTTTAGCCTAGGCTGACAACCGCATCCATCCCACTCCACTACTATCCGTTTCAAACAGCGTCCGCCTGTCACATTAATAATTATCTTTTTTTTATAGGCTAACCACCGTGTCCCGTCTCTCAGCGTACATAGTTTATATTCTTTTTCTTTTGCTCGCTTTTGCTTTTTTTTCACTATTTGGGACATTACTGTAAGTAAGAATTTTAATATTCGTAGTTAGGAGTAATTTTCTAACCCATTCGCTCCAGCGGTGTTTATACTTAAAGTATCAACCGCGGTTGGGCGATTCGGTTTTATTTATATATATATATTTTTTTTTTCTCTTTTTTTTGGCATCTTTCAACACATTTTTAAAAAACACCAGTGTAAACACACATTGTATTACTAAAAGTAATAATAAAGGATTTTTAAAATTCTTTTAAAAAGGAAAATTACGAGTTATTTAATTGTAGTTAGAAAGTAGTTAGCAAACCCTTTATTTAAATATACTTTGTAATTAAAAGAACAGACCTACTCTGTCAGGAACACAAGGGATAGGATTGTGTGGATAGGTAGGGATTGTTTCATCATCTAGTACCATACAACTACCAAAAGACAACTTGTTTATTCCTAACATCAAGCAAAATTTTTTTGTATCAGTTTTTAAAAAAAATCTACCATACTTGTGTATATTTCTGTCAAATTTGTCTCGACAACTTTTTCTGGTTTCGGTGGTGTTCAAGTCATGTGATTCTGTTTTGTGGTGTTCCATAAGCCTTTTGGACGTAAATATTTTGTTACACTCGTTGCAAACAAACCACTGTATTGAGTAGGAATCATCCTTTGCCGTTATCTCATCCAAAAGCAAATTTTTTTCAATTTCCACAACAGTTTCGAGGCGACAACCATTTACTACATTTATTTCTTCAACTTTCACTTTAGGCTCGTTGCACGGTTCTTTAACACTAAAAACAATGTAAAACAATGAGTAACAAGTATATTCAGTGCCTGGATTAAGTATTATTATTAGATTAAACAATATGTTTATACCGAGTGATTCTTTTAACGCCTAACACCAGTTTTCTCTTAAAATGATTAATATTTTGTAAGTTTTTTTTGGAAACATTTTTGTTTATGCTATACTACAATATTAAACAATAGTCAAATATGTATCTTTTTAAGTTTAGACTTTGGGTTCATTGCATGATTCTTTAATATTAAAAAAGGTGTAATTTAATATGTAATGGATATAATAACCGACTAAGATATGTTGTACCCGGTTAAACAGTATAATTTATATAAATATATATATATATATATATATATATCATAAACTGATTTTTAATAGTCAACTACAAAAGTATTTTAAAAATAATTAAATTTAATAGAATGTGCTACTTGAACTTGAAAAGCGTAATCGTATAACATACTACAAATATTATATATTTGTAGCTAGAAAAGTTTACAATGAATATTATACAGGGAGTGTAAACATAATGTATTCATTCAACCTGTATCAATTGACTTTTAAAAATGTACAGATTGTAAATATTTTACCTGATGAGTTCCGTGTTCAGCAGTTCTTTTTCTTCTTTTATTGTTATTGTGGGCTCGTAAAAACAACTATCAGTCCCTTCTATTTTTATTGGTGCCTCAATTTTTTCTTCATCAATGCTAAAAAAAAATACATTTAAAAATTGGTCCGTGGTCTGAATTACTATATTATATGAAACTACAAATTACCTATCATAAAATGTGAAATTATTTAACACAACTGACCCGCTATGTATATTATTTGAGTGGCGGGACCCGTTTCCATGGCGTTTTTATGCGAATTCGCATTTATGGTGGTAAATAGCTTTTGGTAACATCCCGATCATAGAAAAGTTTGGTCACGTTGGTTTTGCGTTGGTGGGTGTTAGAGCCAAAAATATGTAAGGTAAGTAGTCGGGCTAAATGCTGTATTTGAGATTATGATGATTAATAATTTCTGTGATGAGATCTTTGAACTTACAACTCAGAGTTTGAAAATTCTATAATAAAATCAGCAAAGGTAAACAATGTAGCCTTCAGCAACAAATGCTAACTCTCTGTTCTCTAAAATAAATAAAAAAATAAATAGGGAAATTGTATAGCCTTGTGCAAAGTCGGGGAATACAGCTAGTATATATACTAGTTGCCCTTTTGCAAAAGTTTTAATTGAAGAAAATGTTATAGCTATAAAAATCATTTTAATTTTTTCATAGGTACCGAGATAAAATAGATTAAAAACATGTAAAGCTAACTTGAAACTCTATTATACTTAAATCTCCCAAGTCAAATATCCGGTAAAAAAAAAATGAATACCTAATTTAATTAACCTAATTTTAAACTCATCATCATCATGTAGTTTAACAGGCCTTGAATGCGCAATGATAACATTGTAAGATAGTTTCGTGACAGCTTTGCTATTGGGATTGTTCGTCAGTCTGTCGCCGTAGAGGAGTAGCGTTTTCTTTTCACAAAAGAAAACCTACCTGCCTAGCAAATAGAACCACAAGACCAAATGTCAAACCAGCAATCATAAATGCTATAACACACATTACCCGCTCTGCCATGGACTATTTTAAAAACTAAAAATATAGCAAAAATACTACTATGATGGTTTAACTTATAAATTTAGTAGTGATAATAGCGTCTAATGACTTTTTTTTATCACTATTTACCTTAAAATATACTCAGTTGCGACGTTACATCTATTATATTTTTGGTTTGAACGAAAACCCCCATCAGAACGGTCAAAAAACATAATAATTACTTGCTCTAAAACTAATAATAAAATGTCGATAAAACTATCACAGTTTAATATCAAATTTTTATTGTGAAAATCGCTTTTAATTTTACTTAACCTAGAAAAACTCATTTTACTTTACCTTGAAAAACTCATTTGTGAGGTTTGATCTATTGTACTTTCATTAGCTTGTTCTGTGATCACATTTTTTATCGATTTTTCGCCCATAACTAGACAGAATAAAATATTTATTATGATGACTGTTATTTAAAATAATTTATTCGAAAATATTATACTTCACCTGGATCTGGATTTGACATCATAATTCCCGTTGTCGGTATTGTTATAATTTTATTATAATTAAAATTGTATTTAAATGTATGTAATGAATCCAAATACAGTAAACAACAAAACTCAAAACTATTAGTTGAAAAAAATTATTATTCGTCTGCTTGTTAGTTGTTAGGAACAAATCAACAAAGTGTACTGTATACTGTATACTTACGATGTAGAGAAGATAAGGTGACGCCACTCCAACCAAATCAGTGGGTCAAGAAATTACGGCATTTTGGTAGTACAATTTTGTCACGTAGATAGCGCCACCATTCGCCCGGAGGCCGACTTTTACATGGAGCTAATAGAGGTTTTTACATATTATTATACGTTACTGTCATTTTTATTACTAAATAAAAATATATTACATGTAATTTTATTTGATTACAGGGCTATAGATTATATATTATTTTAAAAACCACAATATTCGTATATGTAGTCTAATTAAATGTACTATTTATTCTAATTCCTATTCCACAAAATACGTTTATAGTCGAACGATGACTATCCTTTTATAACAATATATGAAATTATTCTATACGATGTATAATATAATAACACGTATTATGTACAAGGAAAAAATTTTCCTCAACCCCTCCCTCCCCCTTCCTATATCGAATTTTAAGCACCAGAGAAGTTTTTTCAAATTGAGTTTATAGTTGTTGAAGGCCTAAAGAATAATTCGTTGTAAAGAACAACGAAATTTCTGGACTTACAGTTCCGAAGATATTTTAATTCTTACTTAGGTAGCCGCAATTCCCCTTAACACTCAATAATTAAAATATAATTATTAAATTATTATTTATTTACTTCAAGTTCTAAATTACTTCAGAGAGTAACATTGTAACAGTTATATAATAAATACCTATAATATATTACTTAAAACACAATTTTTTTTGGCTCTGGGGTATTTAAACCCGAACCCTTCCCCTGTAATACACCACTGTACATAACAATACATTCTTTCCGATTATTTTAATTTACCCCCGAAAAATAATTTGCATCACAAATAATTGTTTATATTTTGTGTCTACATAATAAACCGCGGCATATATAATTATAAAATACTGTTGTTCTTATTCATTTTTACAAATAACATTCATTGACTAATGTAGATCTTTTAGATTTATAATTTATTGGCAATATTTGCTCTACTATAGTTTTATTCTATTACTCTGATCTAGAATTTAGAAATTATGACCATGTATACTAATGACTAATTAGTATTGGAATACTACTTTATATTAGTAGAGTAGCTAAAATAATAAAATAAATAACTGTGCTGGACAAAGACTAGATCAGAATAAATTTAATTTAATTAATTATGAAAGCTATATTCTAGTGCTAATATTTACTTAAATGCCGTTAAAAAACACAGTTTTCGCAATTAAAAAGTTAACAAAATAATTACTTATTACTAAATAAGACAATAAAAATAATAAAAACTCCAAATAAAGAATAATTAACATAAAAATAAAAAATAAAACGTTTATTGTCCATAAGCCGCATAGAAAATATCGGCCTCCGGGCGAATGGTGGCGCCACCTGTACAGCGAGGCTGAACTACCAAAATGCCTGAAGCATTCGACCCCAGATTTTTACTGATAAGAAGTTGAGTGGTGTCACCTTATCTTCTCTACATCGTGATCGTGTGTATACTATATAAAATATGATAAGAGAAAAACCAGAATAATATATTATGATAACATTTTTGTTGCCATGGCGTTAGCGTATGTTTTGCTGCTTGATATATTATCCTAAATTTTTAATAGTATTTCATTTGTTTATTTTAATAAATGTAAAAAAATTATAAAAATGTCTGTACGCTTTACGCATTTGGGTGTACGTTTGTAATAAAGTACGTTAGTAAATATTTTTTGTGTTTTAGACGTATTGTTAACAAATACTGGTGTTACAGTTACCTAGTATTTTTGATTAAAATGATCCCTTAATTTTTACCGATTTAGTAAAATTTCTAATATATAAACAAGAGTTGTTAAAATTTACAATTATTGATGACATTAGCCCTTTCGAGATCCCTAGCTCAAGTCCAAGTTCTGCTTCTTGATATATTTTTTTTTTTGCATTTGATTAACATGGTTAGGTTCACAGCAAAGAAGGTTCTATTTTAATGATTAATCATTTATTTGTTTAACTTGTGTAACGCGTACAAACTTTATTTTTGTATAAAACTAAAAACATACGTTTCTAAATCGGTCAAAAAGTTTTTAAAAATTATCCGATTTATATTAGGAAAAAAAATTGCACGCTGATGGTTACAAAACGCACGGCCACTTTAAGGCGGTCACGGCTAGTATACGTTTCGCAGTCGACAAAAAATACATAATTTTATTGTTTATAAGGACCTAGTATTAATATTGTCTTCACAATAATGTAATATATTACATCAATGACAATGGTTACCTGGGAACAAATTTTATTTGATATTTATATGTTCACTTGCACACATGCATGAGCGTTTTTGAATGAACACAAGTCCTAACAACCCAAAATGTGCAAAATACTAGAATTATAAAATTACACACCTTAATATTCTTTTTATTAATATTGTTATTCCATGTAAAATTAACACAATATATTTTCTTAGTTCAAAAAGTGTTTAAGATGTTCTATATTTATTCTGAACTCTTCCAAAATATCTTTGACATTGCTCCAAGGCAAAGCTGAGTATAGGTATCATATATTTTAACAAGGATAAATCTCGTTTCTTTTTGCGGGTCAAGACCTATGATAGTTTTATGTACAGATAAGAATTAATATTACACTAATTTTATTGAGAAACCCCAAACAATTAAGCAATGAATTGTTAACTATTTATGTTAAGTGACGCACAACGAATAGATTTCAATACTTTTATTTGAAACAAAAAAATAATTACATGAACATAAAACAGGTCAACCCCAACTGTCTCCGTTGCAGGCCACCAACCAACTAACTCTCTAACCTATTATACACAATCATTTTATATACATGATATGAGATAACACTCGGCCTTCCTGCTATTTTGTTATGTCCCCATAACAATTACAAAAAAAAACAGATAACTTTTAAGTCTTACAAATTAATAACTAATCCAGAACAATTTTTTTTTCTCTTGTGAGTTTTCTTTAGAAATACACATAATCGGAAAACTTCGCTGGTTTCCTCTTCGTCCTCACTGGCCTCTGTGAACTGATTCCCTTGGGTGTCAAGTCTTCTTCCGCGACCGTTTTAATTTCGTCTGGCATCTCCTGTTCTTCAGCTGGTCTTTGAAAATCGACTTCCTTAGGTGTTGAATCTCCTACCGTGGTAATGTCAGTTCCGTCCGACATTTCTTGGTCTTCAGCTGTCACCTTCCAAGATTTTAGTTGAGACACATGTGCAGTTGTTATATAGTGCCTGTTCTTTTCTTGGGATAATTGTTCTACACGATAAACATCTCCCGGCAAAACTTCCACAACTACTAATGGGCCTCGGTAACGGTCTTGTAATTTGGTCGATTCTCCTGTAGCAGTAGGGACCCTGGTCATCACAACTATCTCTCCTACCTTGTAGTGTATGTGATTGTGACGATGAGCATCAAACGCCTTCTTGGTTTTTTCCTGAGACTTTTCAACTGCAGTCTTAGCTTCCTCCCACAATTCAGCAGGACAAGTCCACTCCTCAGACGTAGTCGACAGCTCACGTAGCGGTCCCAAAAAAAATCTAGGACGATAGCCATGAAGCAGTTCGAACGGAGTACGACAACTGACTTTACTCTCGCTGTTATTTATCTGTCGTTGTACTTCTCCTAAAAGTTGGGCCCAATCCGCATGCTCCTCTATCTGTGTAATCAACATAGACAACACAACGCTGTTAATTCGCTCTACCTGTCCATTTGCTTGAGGTCTACGAGTAGAATTTAACACATGATAAATGCCCATCTTCTCACAATATTCATGAAAAGCATGTGATGTAAAGCAGGTTCCTCTGTCAGTGATGAGCCTTCTCGGCAGCCCATACCTCTGTACGAAATCACTCATGTGAATCAACACATCTTCTGTACTAGTGTCCCTGGCAGCATAAAGACAGACATATTTGGTCAGATTATCTACCATTACCAATATGTATCTCTCTCCTCGGGCTGTCCTCACAAATGGCCCGACATGATCCATGTTTACCACTTCAAACGGTCTATGCGCAACTGGAATCGGATGTAATAGCCCTGGGCGTCGCCCCCTTGGCTTTTTGGACATTAGGCACTCCATACACATGTAGATGTGCTGTTTTACATACCTCCGCAACCCCACGAACCAATAGTCTTGCAGTATATTGCTCACTGTTTTATCCACTGACAGATGTCCATTAAGGTCATGCGAAGCAACTACAACACTCTTCCGCATGCTTCTCGGCATAACAAACAGCAACTTCCCTTGATGATTTCGATAAAGCAGCTGTCCTTGTAGCATAAAGTGTCTTACTTCACCTCTCTCTGCTTTCGAACGTTCATCTTCCGGCTTCTTTAATATGTCAATCAGTTTTTGTATCTCTTCATCTGTTACTTGAACCATAAGTATTCGTTCCTGTTGTTCTAACGATACACAAACATCCAGACGTCCAGATAACACCTCATCCAACGTTTCTTCCTCATGTCCATCAACTGGAGCTCTAGATAAGGCGTCGACATGTGTCATCTTAGTTCCGGCACGATGTTGGATATCAAAGTCATACTCCAGCAACAGATCATGCCAACGTTGAATTTGTGGATGTGTATCTCGGTGGTTCTTCAAGTAAACTAATGCTTGGCAGTCAGTAATAATCATAAACTTCTTACCTATCAAGAAATGTCTCCACTTATTCACTGCCCAGACAACACACATCAATTCCAACTTACTGGAATGATACTTGGACTCTGGTTCTGTAAGTCTCTTACTGATGCAGTAGACAAGTTGTAGAGGACGGACTCCATCTCCACTCTGTAATAACATAGCCCCTAAACCCAAAGAACTGGCATCTGTATGTACTTCCGTGATAGCAGCCTTTGGATTAAACATGTTTAGTACAGGTGCGTTGGTAAGCGATCCCTTTAAAGATTCGAACGCAGTCTTCTGGTCTTCTTCCCAAAAAAAAAACGCACCCTTCTTGGTCAGTCTTGTAAGTGGCTCTGCAACAGAGGCATACTGGTACACGAAACGTCGAAAAA